AGAAAATGATAACAAATATAAATGTAAAACAAAGAGAGGTTATTATAAATTATTTTATTTCAAGCCAGATTTAACGAATCCAGATCTACAGTTTTCAAACAACAAAAATAATTCGTATTTATATTGTTTTTTTCTAAAACTTTGAAAGCAAAAAAGAAATACGGCCACCTTTGGCACCTACATTTGTCATCGCCCAGTAGGGCGATAGAAATAAACGCCGCCGAGCGAACTTCGCATTTCGCTTTTGCTGTGTTCAATTTCATATGCTTACGGGTTTTCTAATTTTGACAGCACGAATTTCGCTCTGGTGAGTTCGCCGTTCGCCGGCATTGCATTTCAGCTATGATGTTGTCGTTACCCGTAGAGAGGTTTCTCTCTCTCTATATCAACTGCAATTTGATATATTGGTATTTACGGAAAGGCGCTCCGTCGGTAGGCAGCTGTACCATAAGATTAATTTGAATATGAACATAAATGGTCTGTCGGCAAAAAATAATCGTTGTACAAAGAACTGCATCGTCCTTTTAGAAGACGTCTTAAATAAATTTTTGTATTCACAAATATTTTGGAGACCGCTGGACTCACCTTTGCTTAGCTTCCTTATGGCAATAAAGTATAAGAATAAAGATAAAAATGTGCTATAAATAAAAAATAAATAAAAATAAAAAAATCCTTGTCACTATGAATTGAACCCGAGACCAACAAAGTGGTAAACGAAAACGCATCCATTCAGCCACGATAGCTATTGACACAGCAGGGTAAAAATGAATTCTTGAATTTATTTTAAAAATTTTGATTTTATTAAAATTTCAAATATCGAAGTTTCACAAAACAATAAAGTGATTTTCAAACTGTTGACTACACTACGATAGTCGACACGGCAGTAATAGGCGGCATACACGGTGCGTCTGACTCGCGAGTTGGTTCGGATGTGTTAGTAAAAATAAATATCGCTAGCTTAGAGTGAAATGTTGCTATGTCCACTTTTTATGAAAAATTAGTTTTTGATGCAGGAAGCAAGGAAAACTGAAAATGCACCGTTTCTGAAAGGATCTAACTACTTGTTGTATTTCTACCCGTTTTATTCCGTGATGTGCAAAATTGCTAAGTCCAAAGTAGTCACAGAAAATTTGATAAGTCCAAAAAAATATGAATATTTTTTTTAACGCTATCGAATTCGATTTGTATTAAGGGTTTACAACAAGAAAATTCTGGTCAATTTCAAGGTTAGCAATTACTATTATTATTTTTGATTATTTATGTACATATGTATGTATTTATATGTATTTATAAAAGGTTACCATGTCCTTCGACGGTGATAGCAACCCTATTGACGAGTACGGCATTGAATCGGATGATGGAGTATTTGGTCTTCTCCCTTATGGCTTTAATAGTGATTCCGAGGACTCTTTTGAGCTACCAAACAAAACAAGGAAACGCAGGAAGAGGGTACAAGTTCAAAACTTTAAGTGGTTTTCGGAAAAAAATAAAAAATTAAGAGAAAATGGCAAAACTTATTATGGAAAACAAAAAGGTGATAATTCTTGGAACTATGAAAAAGTAAAACAGCCACGAATCATGAAAGAAAGATGTCGGTGTGTAAAAAGTAGCTATGGTAAAACAATGAAATGCTTAGAGGTGAGTTAATAAAATAGACAAAAGATTTTCAAAGAATTCTGGCGGATGAATTGGCATCAAAAAAAAGTTTATGTTAGCACTTTGATCGATATTGATAAACCGTTACGGTCCCGAAATAGAAAGACACGTCAGAATCAAGAAGAAAAAATTCTTTGATATATCACTTTAAACTGGACAATAAAACCGTACGCGTGTGTAAAACCTTCTTTATAAACACATTAAATATTGGAAGAGGTTCGGTTAACAATTGGTTAAATAAACCTATCGCTTTAAATGCACATTCGAAGAAGAAGCGAAATCAGAATTCTGTTGAAGAAAGAGAATTCCTCAATTAATTTTTCGGTTCCCTTCCTGTAATGGAGTCTCATTATTGCCGAGCCGCCGCTACGAAAAAATACCTCTTGCCCGAATATCACTCTAAAAATCAGCTTTATGACATTTATGTTAAGGATTGGTGCAAAGCCCATAAGCCGTTTTTCATAGAGAATTTGACACTAGAATTTTGAGCCAATTTTTACCAAAAAAGGATCAATGCGAAATATGTGCACGTTATTCTGCCGGCTGCTTGTCACAAAAAGAATACGCTCTCCACCAAGAAAAAAAAGAAGAAGCCAGGAATGAGAAAATCAAAGATAAAAATAATGAACCAAATGTATTCACGGTTGATCTTCAAGCAGTTTTAATGTCCCCAAAATCGCAAGTCAGTAGTCAATATTATCGCACAAAGTTACAAGTCCACAATTTGGTTTTTTATAATCTCATAAATAAGGACGGATTCTGCTTCTTATGGAATGAAGTTGAAGGCGGATTAAGTGCTGAAGAATTTGCGAGCATATGGACTTACTTTCTTGCTGAAAAGGTTATACCAAATCTCGTTGGCGATAAAAATAAGATAATTTTTTATACTGATGGATGCACGTATCAAAATCGCAACTGCATCATGAGCAATGCCTTACTAAACACAGCAATGAAATATAATGTTATAATTGAGCAAAAAATATTAGAACCTGGACACACGCAGATGGAGGCTGATAGTGTTCATTCTACCATAGAGCGATCTATGAAAAATAGAGACATTTCTGTTCCTGCCGAGTATATTAATATATGTAAAGCTGCTCGTCAAAAACCTAGACCGTACGATGTTTTTTATTTGGACCATACCTTTTTTAAAACATTTAATAACGTACAGTTTTGTAAAAATATTCGTCCTGGACGTGGTGAAGGCGATGCCAAAGTAACAGATGTTCGTGGTATCAGATACACACCAACCGGTGAAATATTTTTTAAACTAAGATTTTCAGATCCATGGAAAACTCTTCCTCAAAGATTAGACAAAAGTATATTCCCATTACAGTGGTCCAATTTGACGCAACTTCACCAAGGCAGACGCCGAATTACAGCAAGAAAGTACGAAGATTTGCAGTATCTAAAAGCAAGTTTGCCTAAAGACCATCATCATTTTTAAGATAGTTTGCCACATGAATGATTTTTTGGTGTGTAGTTTAGTTTCAGCGAACAATACTATTAATTTAATCTACCATTGTTTGTTCATTTTTATTTTATTGTATAAGCTCTTGTTTATAATAAACAAGTTCGCAACTACGTTTCAAATTAAAAACAAAAATGTATAAAAAAATTCACAATCTTCTTTTTCAGAAAATCCCATTAATGGGATCCTAAAAGTACGGCCGCTGTGGTGTAGTGGTAAGCAGTGCGCGCTTCCACTCCGCAGGGCCTGAGTTCAAGTCCTGGTAAAAGCAACATCACAAACAAATTTAGAAAAGAAGGTTTTTTCTTAACAGCGGTCGCCCCTCGGCAGGCACTGGCAAACCTCCGAGTGTATTTCTGCCATGAAAAACAGCTTCCCATAAAAATACAATCGCCGTTCGGAGTCGGCGTAAAACTGTAGGTCCCTCCACTTTGTGTGACAACATCAAGGCGCACGCCACAAATCGGGGGAGAAGCTCGTCCAAACACTAACATACGCGTAAGCGCCAATCTATTATTATTATTATTAAAAGAACCTAAACAATTTGTTTCTTAAAATATACTTACGAGATGGACTTTTCGTATTGCACATATTGGAAAAATTCATGGAAAATTTGCTAAGTCCAACAAAAAAATTTTAAGAAAAAAGTAGAAAATTTGCTAAGTCACAAAATTATCTACAAAATTTATAAAAAAGCAGATTTTTTAATTTTTTTTTTTAATAAAGGGTAAATGAAAAACGCGAAACACTGCATTCAAAGTTTTGCAAAATACTTAAAGAAAATTACTTAGGAACGTTTTTTGTGTCTCCTGTACAATTGAAAAAAAATGGATTTAGCAACTTTGCACTCTAAGCTAGCGATATGTGTTATGGTGTTTTTTTTTCGAAAAAGAAATGTCACCTTCTTATATGGCCACATTATCAGAGTGCATCATTTTAAGGAAAGAGCACGCAATATGCATATGAAGATGCTGAGAAAAGAACACGAAAACTTGACAGTCGTGGTGCAGGGCAGAATAAATGCAACGTTATTTCGAGAAAAGAAAACGTTATTAGTTACACCGACATGACTCTGGTATGACTCTGAATGACTCAACTGTGTGTACTCGAAAAGCGAGTCAACACGTACACAGTTGAATCGCGAGTTGCCTATAAGCAACATAAATACATGAATCAGTATTCTGACGAAATCGTTTTGACAATATCATTTGAACGACTATCGTGTCAAAGTTAAGTGATGCATGGCCAGGAATTCCTTTATTTTATTGGAACACAACTGTACTCTAAAAATGCTTTTATTTTTAAATGGAAAAACTACGAAACGGGGCTTTTTCGCAGTTTTTTGACCAAAAAAGATACGAGAGTTAGTTATACATAATTGGTTTATTTATATGAAAGTAGGTACTGAAATAGCTCAATGATTAATATGTGCATATGTACCTGCTTCTTTAATATTCGCGCGACAAATTAAAAAAACCAAGTAAATCAATACTTATTAGTACTAGTTTTAATTAGGGATTGAGGCATTACTTTCCCCATTTGGCTTTTAGTAACTTTAACAAAAACCTAAACTTATTAATTTTTTTCATATTAGTTCAGTTTTAGAAAATACTGATTTCTAAATAATCTCCCGTTACGCAATTTTATTTTATTCGATTCATTTGTGTGCTCATGTGAAATAAATGCTTTTTTGTTAAAAATATTTTCTTAGATTATTTTATTTTAATATTTGACTATAATATAACTATGACTACGATAGTTTAGTGTAAAATAAAGTTCAGTAATTACAAGGTTATAATGATTTTCTTATTAATGTAAGAAAGATTATAAATCTTCGAATACTTTTCTCTGCAAAAATATTTGTTCCTTTTATTTATATATATTTTCTAAATAACAATAAAAAGTGTTTAGTGAACGTACCAACTACAATCATATCCTCGTGTCCTGAAACTGTCTGAAAAGAAGGCGCTTCTCCGGAGACCTCACATCTATAACGACCCGTTGACTGCAACGACACGCGCCTTAATACCACTAAATTATCTGTCGAGTTCAGTAGCTGCAAAATAATAAAGGAAAAGAAAACAATTTGATTGACATAAGCTCATTCAACTATTTTATTTTAGCCTATTATAATAATAATCAATATATAAATACGTCACAAGAAAATTTTGCAATCACTTTTTTGAAGGCACCCTTCGCTCGATTTCAATGAAACATACACCGATTTAAAGGATATAACTTCCTCTAATCCAGAAATGTTAATCCCGATATATTGGGAGCGTGGCATCTGACATATAGAGCAAAATGTGAAACCACTATATATCTAAAACCAATTACGCTGGGGAACTGAAACTTAGCACAGATGCATAGATTATAAATACCCTACTTACGACGAAAAATAGTTGGTACTGGAAAAATGGGCGTGACACTTCCCATACAAACTAAAATTCTCATATCGCTTATCTCTGCAACCGCTTATGCTGACGACCTGAAATTTGACACAAAAACAAATGTTGTAAATACCGTGCTTACGGCGAAAACTGTTAGATTTTAGAAAAGGGGGCGTGGCGCCGCCCATACAAACTGAAATTCTCATATCGCTTATCTCTGGAACCGCTTATACTGACGTCCTGAAATTTTACACAGCGACATATGTTGTCAATACCGTACTTACGGCGAAGAGTGGTACATTTTGGAAAAGGGGGCGTGGCACCGCCCATACAAACTGAAAATCTTATACCACTTATCTCTAGAACCACTTATGCTGACATCCTGAAATTTAACACAGCAACATTAGTTGTCAATACCATACTTATGGCGAAATATGGTAGATTTTGGAAAAGGGGGCATGGCACCGCCTATACAAACTGAAATTCTCATATCACTTATCTCTGGAACTGCCTATGCTAACATCCTGAAATTTTACACAACAACATATGTTGTCGATACCGTACTTACGGCGAAAAGTGGTAGATTTTGGAAAAGGGGGCGTGGCACCGCCAATACAAACTGCAATTCTCATACCCCTTATCTCTGGAACCACTTATGTTAACGTCCTGAAATTTGACACAGCTATTTATGATATCAATAACGTACTTATGGCGAAAAGTATTATATAATGGGAAATGGGCGTGGCACCACCCATACAAACTGAAATTATCATATCGCTTATCTCTGGAACCGCTTATGCTGACGTTCCGAAAATTGACATAGCAACATATTTTGCCGATACCGTACTTACGGCGAAGTGTGGTAGATTTGGGACAGGAGGGCGTGGCACCGTCCATTTAAACTGAAATTCTCTTATCGGTCATCTCTGTAACCGCCTATGCTAACGTCCTCGAATTTGACATAGCAACATGTGTTGTCAATACCGTACTTATGGACTTATTTACAGTCTGAATTGTTTGACATATTAGTCAGTGATGAACGTCTCATCTATACATACATATGGATATTTTTTATAAATTAAAATCGAGGTTCCTTTTTCGGTCTATTTTCAAAAGCTACTGAGGAGGAGATTTTGTAGAATTAGCATTAATCAATCCGGCATTACCGTTCATAATTCGATTTTAAGTTTTCCTGTAAATTGGCTATAAATTATGCTGTGGGGCTTCAATATAGTAATTCGCATAAACTATTTAGTATTGGTGATAGGTAAAATTCAAAAGTGTATAAAAAAAGATGTCGAATTTCGACAACTGGGCCATACTAGTAATAATAGATTGGCGTTTACATATACATGTGTAAGTTAGTGTTTGGCCGCGCTTCTCCTCTGATTTGACGCGTGCGCCTTGATGTTGTCACACCAAGGGGGGGG